CAAAGTCATTTCACAAATTAAAAACTGACACTATAGACAAATAAGGAAGTCACTTTGCATGGGCCAATCATAACACCATTCATGCTACCAGCAATTCAACCGCACAGACATTTGGAATTATTTAAAGTGTTCGTAGATGTTCGTAGATGGATAAGAAATCAGAAGATGGAAAGGTAGCTTACTTTTACATCTGTATAATAAACATTAACTCAGATTAAGAAATGTTAGCACAAAATTAATTTCACTATTCATACAGCTTGTTCCTTATGTGTGTAAAAGCACAAGTATCTGGGCAAGAAAAACACACACATACACTGAAGCTAACCCAAAAACACAACTATACACGTACACTGCTACTCCTTTACTGAAATCAACGTACAGCAAGAGCTTAGTATTGCCCAAAACCCTTGTATAAGATGAACATGAATATTTGATTAAAACAAAAACAAAAATAGTATATTAATAATGGCACGAGAATCAGTGCTCTTATTTCTGCCATCACTGTTAAGGCGATCTTCCCCGTAGTTCTCATTACTCTTATAGTGTGCTAAAATATTAAACAAATTGAATATCATTCAGAAGTTGTCTTGAAGATTGAATTTAAAAAAAAAGCGTTTTCAACTGTGTCTGCATTTGTCGTAAATAATCATGAAAATTAATCGCACGCTCAGTAACAGAAACGAATCCTTTGCATTCAAACAGTCAATTAACTAATGCATAGACGGAAATACCACACCACACTTCTCACCGCAGCCGCCAATCACAAACTGCGCATTTATTTGTAAATACTGAAATCACCTCTCGTCATTATTGCACTAACACTGACAGTACGCCGGCCTGTAAGGGCATATGCACAACGCACACAATCGAAAATTATACATTTCACGAGAATAACACTCACATAAAAATGCTTGGATATTAAACTAAATTATGGGGCTTTCCATGAATAAAATGCTAAGTACATGAGCATTTAAAAGCTAATGCCGCATAAACAAAACATTGGAAAAACAACAGCGATAAATAGCAACTACTGACTTCACATTTACTCGACTACTTGTCCAGAAAAAAAAATGATAAAAGACAGTTATGAGGAAACTATACAATATAAAGATGCTCTTATATCTCGTGATTATCACGTTCAGACAAGAGCTTATTATAAGCTCATCAATGTATTGGAAAAAATAAAGGCATCAGTTTAAAATTAAAACATCTCAAATCATTAACAAAATGGTTTTATACATATATAATATTCTGTATAGCCAAGAAAGACCACAGCTTTAAGTTTTCATGCCGACTCCATATTAATGTAGACTTGAACACATTTTAGAACCTCCCCCCCCCCACCACAAACATTCCCACGACTCACCTGATGCAGACAGTTGTCAGCAGATAGAGAAGACTTGTACGATATACCCAAACATTTTGCATCGCTCCTTCAATGTTTCCTCAGCTCATTGACGTCCAGCCAGCCTTGCCTGCTGACTCTCGAAGCGCAATTGACAGACAGCGTATAAAGCCACTCAGAGATTTTTGCGTTTTCATTGGATCGCTCCTATTGGAGCATAAAAGCCCCGCCGCTTACCGCGGTCTCACAGAGAGACGGGGTCGCTCATGTACATCTGCGGACTTCCAGGACGGTCAATACTTACACAAACTAAAACCAAACGGAGACGCCGGGCTGAGCCATTTTAATGAAGAACAAACGATACTAGAATTCTTACGGTTTCAGGTAAAATGCAGTCAAAGAAAATGCAACGCCACAAGAAAATGCCGGCTGTATACCCATTTACTGTTTACCTGCAGTCATACCTTCTACGAAGCCTATTGATTTTAACGCGCGTCACAGCCATAAATTAGACGTCTGAATGATCTGCACATGCTGAAGGCGTGCCTGAACTCAGATGAACAGCAGACTTCTGACCCGCTACTGCGGTCTTCCGAGCGTGGTCAATCTGCCCTACATTTTGGGCTATTTTACTGGTACAGCGGTAGGGTGAATTTAATTCGACCCTAGTTTTCAGCAATAATATCAACTAGGATGTCAGTAGCATGTACATATTCTGGTCTCGTTCTAGATGACCTTGACATCTTATAGAAGACGCACGTACACTGAAAATCAGAAGATGCTGCAGATTTGACAAAAGGCAATAAAACATTGTGGGCCAAAAATTTACTCGAAACCCGGATCTCTAGTGAAGTGAACATGAAAAGCTCACGTGGATGTTTCGCTACCTAAAATGAGCTAGGTCCCATACTGGAACAAGCAAACAGGCACAGAAAGGACAGAGGGCATTCCTACAAAAGTATGTTAGATGCTGCATATAATCCAAAGATGGGGGTGGGGAAACATCTTGGAGTTCTAAACGACCTATATTTTTTCAGCGTAATCGCGTTTGTGTGAGATTTCGATGTTGTTTTAAATATTATAACGTGATTCCTTGTTATCGCTGAAATGTTACTGCAGCTCAAACAAAACGTATGACTAAAATTAGTGTAAATCATTCAATCAAAGAAATTCACCAAATTCAAAATCAGTTAAAAAGAAGAAATAATTTAGCTTAGTGAATTTGTCCTGTTTCATCAGATCCCTAGACTGCGGTCACTGCATTGCAGTCTTACTTTCCGCCACTAGAGGGTTACATACACACCTCACCACTCACAGCTTAGCCGTCTATAATGGCTTTCCAGTGGGACGCGGTACGTATATTACCCAATATATTTTATTATGCACGGTTTCATGGTAAAACTTTATCATGACTTAAGTAATAGGCAGCAGACCCATAGAAAGACGGAAATGGAGAAATGGTGTACATCTTATTAAATAAGCCTTAATGCGGCTGAAAGTATTGTTACATAAATGTTGTCTGTTCGCGGCAGGACACGTTGTCCGTTGTGACGGTTGTCCCTGGGACAGTAAGACAACACAGATAGGTACCAGAAAGAAGCAGGTAGCGGGTAGAATCCAAAACTATGCCAAGCACCATTTCATATTTTTCCTCCGTCAACAGCAAGTCAGTGAAACACTCCCATCGCGATCCCTATGGGCTGTAACAGCACCGTTAAATAGATATGGAAAAACAATACATGCTCTAATGGTGTGAATGGAGTTAAGTATCTGTATATAGTAAATAAAAATGTTTTTTTTCACCATTCGGTTGAATACCTAATACTTCGCTGAGAAATTAAAAACTCTGAGTCTGGTTCGTTCAACTGTCCCGATTCTGCCTGATTTTGTCCCATCACTTTTCGAGGCTAAAGTTAGCCGCATTATACAAATTACCACAAGATGGCAGCATATGCTTTAAAATAAATGTTTTAAGTTTTTTACGCTAACTTTTGTAAATGGTTTGATATTGGAGCGTTTTTTTATCATATACTTAAATTATGGAATATGTACATACACAAGTTGGATAACAGTAAAGTATACACTAAGTCCTTCCTGTGACAGACTCAACTCAAAGTTTGTCTTTCTTACAGAATACATTTACCTTTACTCAAGTAAGTCAAATGTTCATATTTTCTTTTGTGTGTATTTCAAAGTATCCGGCTTGGTCTTCTTGTCCTCTCAGAGGCAAACCAACCGCCCACATCATTTCTCTGTGAGCCTGTCTTCTCGGATTTCTCACACCTTTCGAGCTGCTCGGCGCGAGCCTGGAAGCACGCGCCTGAAGGCGGGCGGAAAATAATTTTACAGACGCGGCTCGCGCCAGTATCTGTCTTATGACGTCCGCCGCCGCTGGCGTGACTGCATGCCTGCCAGGCTCGCGACTGTCCGTCAGCTGACCTAAGCCACCCAACGGCTACTGTTAGCGTCTGGCGGCCCAACCAAAAAAAGTATATTCTGATATATATTGTTAATGAAAATATTTCATTGCTTAACTACGCTAGTAGAGAAAATGAAGGCCTGCTTTTAAACCACTCTCACCCGAAAACGACCGTTACCTTTGAATGTCACCAGTTTTAAGGTAACCAACTGCACATTGTGATACTTGATTGTCACAGACATAGCATACAGTTGTTTAAAATACTATTTAACTTCATCTTAGAAATCAGAAATATGACCTCTCTAACAAGACTGTATGAAATGCAGCGGGCAGGATTTGTTGTTTCACATCACCCCCCGCCCAATATAGTGACTGTATGTGGCCTACAGGGGGCTCCACGGAAATGCGAGGTTTGGGTGCTGATCAAAAATTAAATTCAGGCAGTTATCAGTATTAATTAAGTGATTGTCATACTTTGGATTTGTTTGGTTTCTCTTCTTAAAGACACTTTATTAGCATTATTTTAAGAGCTATTCTTGGCAACTGTTTGAACAGGTCAGCTGGACCCCAAACACATGCTGAAGGTCCAAGCTTGACTGGCTGTGTCCCAGAAAATGATACTTTTTCATCTGTATAAGATACACGTAAAAAAATTAAAACCCACAGTGGTTCTACATCATGGTCATCTGCAGCACAGCATGAATTAGTCTTTTTCATTGACTTTAACTAATATTAGGGGGGTCACCATAAATATTCTAAAATGAGTTTAACTCGCACCGCACGGATTTACAGCAAAACATATACGATACTTAAAAGAATGAAATTGACAGCGGACTGTGTTTCAGTGTTTTGGGTTTTAATATTCTTCGAGTTCATTCGTCACGGCCTTAAATGAGACCGACCTGTCCGGTTGTTTCACCGTTCATTTTTGCTCATAAAACAGCAGTCTGTAAATTATTGGGTTACTAAAGCAAGGGAACATTTTTTTATTTTTAATAACGGCGTATAGTAGTATCCCTCCCGGGTCTGGATTTCACCATTTTCATGAAAGATGCCGCCGGTTAGTTAACCGGCAACTGTACAAGTGATGAAAGTCTGCCAGTTAAGCAGCGGTTACTGCTTTTCACTATCGGCTAATGAACGCCATCGCTGACGTCAGGTTTCCGTACCCAGTGCCGTATTTTGACTGCAAGGCTACGTTTTGTTATTTCTCCATCCCCCCTCCCCCGTATTAGATCCGGAGTCCCCGCGAAAGCGATTCCCGCTTGCCCCCCTTAGGGGAACGGCGCCGCTGGCATTGGCGGTGAGCGGGCGTGAGTGACAGGCTGCAGTGCAGTGCGTTTGCTCGAGCTCCCCTATATGGCTGTGGATTAGCTATATGCTAATATCGATAGGAGAGAGGAGCAGCAGCGCCGTGCTGCAAGGCGACAGTGGAGGCTATCAGAGTCTAAGCAGGCTCCTCAACAGCCATGGCTGAAGGTGGAGAAGGGGAAGATGAAATTCAGTTCTTGAGAACTGTAAGTAATTAATTTCGTTGATGTATCATTCGAAGTCAGGATGTCGTTGAATGTCTGATCTCTTTGTCTGTGCAATGCATTGTCGCTGCTGTCAAGCCCGTGGACGTGATGATTTCTTGTGTGGTCCCTACAGTAGCATCATTCCCTCGACGCGGATTCCGCCACTAATAAATCCCAGATTGTCGTGGTCCTTTCAATGCACTGATCGACAGGAAAGCCTTTCAGGGGATCCTGCGAAATTATCTGTCTTTTGTTTTTTCTTTGACCGGAGGGGTACTCCTTTTGTTTTGCGCATAGAGCGCTGCGATTGTGTGCTCATTTAAAACTTGTTTTACAACACCCTGTATACAGGTTTTGTTTTTCTTTTACTAGATACGCACGTAGGCAATATCTTTGTTCGTGACTTGAAACCCACGTTACTGGACTCCAGGATTCACCTAAAAGTTTCGTATTTTAGAATGCAAGGATAATTAATCGTAATAATGTATAATGAAATACTGTCACAAATGTATAATATTCAGGACAACAAGTAAGTTGCGATGTAAACAACGCCGTAATATAATGTTTTCGCGGGCGGCATAGCCACTTCGTAACAAGTGGTGGTTTAAACATCATCCCGTCTGTAAATTTGACAGTGGCTGCATTAATTTTTTCAAAAAAGACCTTCGTGCCCTTTGCAGGATCTACGTAGTGCTCAAGGAAAATGAGACGGACAGTTTCTGTTAACACATTAGCTTCTAAGAGACGATTCTATTTTTGTGAATTGACTGGAATTAATTACATAAAGGGTAGTGGTGCAGCTTGGCAGTGGTCTTTGCAAGTGACACCTCAAGATGTCAGTTGTTAGATAGCCACCATCTTTTTTCAAGATACCCTTGTATGTTTGTAGATGTTTGTGTCTTGAAGCTGACTGGTTATGCTTCTTATTCTAGGGTTTCTTTCACATTTATATACAAAAGAGTCACATCTGCTTGTTGTTTAACAGTATAGATTATATATGTCACCAGTGAGAGATTTTCACTCAAAAGAAAAATTGTGGTAATCGACAGCTCTCCCAGTGCCTAATGTGCTTTCAGTCTTGGCTCCCTTCTGCACTGATAAAAACCTTGTAGCAGCAGTGACTGTTTCAGAGGGCTTCCTCAAGGCTTTTAATGTGTGTGTCAAAAGAAGGAGCCAGAGCAGCTGTAGAGTCTTGTCCTGATGACAGGAACATCTGGAGACAAATGAATGGAGTGGAGTATAATGATGAAGAGATGGTCACCTGCTGGTGGTGAGGATGGCTTGCATGCCCTTTTTCTGGTGTCGTGCCGATCCAATAGCAGTTCAGTTGTTCATTTAAAGATGTGAGAATGGGAAGGGGTCCAGACTTCAACTAGAATAGATCATTCTGATGCTTTAAATTACATTTAAGTTGTACACTTTTTCCATAGAAGTTTTTTTCCCCCATAACACTTAGCAGCTTAATGATAGGGTTTCCTTTTTTCCATATAATAGTCATGTTACTATTATAGCAAAAGACGGAAAATGAACCATTAAAAGTTTCTGTTCACAATCTGCTTTGTGTTTGGTTCAAACACTGACTGTGTTGTAGTAAAGGTCATAATGTCTCTATAGTCCAGTAAATAGTTGGATGGTATGTTGTATAGTAAAACAGTCAGGTGTTATGCTATTGTCTGCTGTCTGACAATTTCACTTTTAGCTATTAAACTTCAGATGTTATAGTGGTTGATGAAATGTATATAATTGTTCTTCTTGTATGTAGGGCTTGCTTAATGAGTTAGATATGGCTGTTTTGGTGCCTAATAAGTAGTTATGTCATTAATATGGCTGAGGACTTACACTGCTATAAATAAAGATATTAGTTCTATCTTTCTGCTGCATGTCTTACTGTTGGAAACTGCTTGATGCATAAATGTGTGACCCTTAAAGATGATGCCTTTCCATAACAGGTTCACCAGCTGGAGCCTTCTGTTCATTGCTCAGTGTTGTGTAGAAATGGACTGTGTGCACCTTCTGGGAATACAGCAATGCAGTTCATTTTGCTATAGACATGGACAGTGTTTAGTTGGAAACAAATTTTAGAAAAAATTGAGCAGAAGAAACATTTTTTCATATTCATGCTGAATGAACTTGGCTTAAAATTGCATCAGATCACTCAGTTGTGTTTGTGATTTGCTGTTGCTCAGATATGCTATTATCTAAACTGTCACGTCAAAGTTGACTGCATGGATCCTAGTAGTCTAACACTTGCATTTTCATTTAAAAGACCTGCATATTAGCATATCCTTTTATTAATAGTTTATTGCTATTTTGTTCATCTTGTTTGCTAACCTTGAAACCTTACAGTCAATGCAGAGAACTATACAAAAAAAGTTCTCTCATTATATAAAAAGTCAGAGTTTGATAAATGTTGTTATTAATCTCCTAGAATTATTTTGTCATTGCCTGAATTTGGAGCTTAAACTTCTTGCATCACTGATGTGTAAAGGTGGGAAAACTGGCAGTGAAATCGATGGCTTTCACAATGACAACCTATAGCAGGAAAGTCTTTCAAGAAGCAAGAGATTCTTGACCACATGTGATCCAGATTATGCCTTTCTTTTCTAAAACATATAGGTGATTTTGAGACTCTGATCTCTGTTTATCTTTCTCTCTGGTCTATATCTATGTCATTTAAACCCATAGAATCTGAGTGGAAATCCTGGTGCAGAGAATGATTATGATTCAGTTCTAAGAATAATATGAAAAAGAATGTGCGGGTTAACTTTTTGTTCTGCTTTCAGCTAGTATTGCCAGTGGACTTTGAAGTTGCTGGCTGTTATGGGAAATGTTTCTGAGATGCACAAAAAATTCTATCTTGAAAGACACTAGCTGTGTTTCCCTTAAAGTTTTGCGCAAATTTAACTGAATTATCAATAAATCAACAATGTGAAATTGCAAATAGGGTGTTTTTCCATTAATGGATGTCACGTGAATAATGCTTAGTTCTAGAACAGGGGTGCCCAGTCCTGCTTCTGGAGAGCTACCACCCTGCAGAGCTTAGGTGCAGCCCTAATTTAACACACCTGATACGGATAGTCAGGCCCTCAGTATGAACTTAGGCTGTACCTAAGCTCTGCAGGGTGGTAGCTCTCCAGGAGCAGGACTGGGCAGCCGTGTTCTGGAATAATGAAATATCATGTGTTATGTATCTACTAATATACATTTTTTGTGTTCCTTGTAGCTTTGCAATTTGTTTATTTTTCAACTCGCCACAAAACACCTCAAGCTAACATAACCTTTTTGGGATATTCGAGGGTTTTTCTTGAAATGTGTGCGTTTCCATTAACGGCTTTTCAATTTGCATCTTCAAAATGTGCAAAATTTTAGAGGCATGTTTGTTGAATTGCATGATGGTGACTTAGGACATTTTCAGATTTTTTTCCCACCAATAACCCACATTTGCTTTGTTGCTTCAGACTGATTGTTTAATGGAATTAGTGCCTGTCAGTGGTAGTAAAGAGATGCAGCTAAATTGAAAGCAAATCCAGAATTTAAGCTTTTGTGACATTGTCTTTGGAAATATGTCTGTCCCTATGGTCAGTTTGAAATAAGTTTCTTTCCTCATTAAATAGAGAGACACTGGTTGTGAATATATCAGAATGGAACTGGCATATTTTTTAAGTAATATGTGAAACCTAATAGGCTATTGCTGGGCTTTGCCCTGCATTTGTAAAGATAACATGTCATATTACGGAAATAAACTGTTATGATTTGTAAAGTACCCGTTATGTAAAGTAGACAAGCTAAATTGTCATGTATTTGGTTTGAGTTTGGTGGTCTTGTCTTTTCTCAGCTGCACAGTTACAGGTGAAAGTACAATAGTAAATATGAAAATAGCATATGACCTTGACTAGATCAAAATTCATTCAATATGAAAAGACACTGAATAATTGTGTGTGATTATTGCCTGAGTGGTCAGCGTGATGTTGTGAACATGCATATGGGAGTAAAGTACACCTATAAAACGAGGTGCTGTGGAGGGCCCCAAACAGTAGCCTTGATCTTATTTGGAGTTTGTTGTTCTGGAGGCCTTTTGCATTCCTTGAGATGACTCTAGAGTTTATAATTAGTCTTTAAAAAGCTGATGCTTCCACAGCGCCTCCTTGCTATTCGTTGTTGCCAGCAGGGGCCATTGCTTCAGCTTGTGTCGCGCAGGATGAGTTTAATATTACTGCCAATAATATTAGGAGGCACAGTGTTTAGAAATAACCTTTGCTTTGCTCTTAAGTCAGACATCAGATGACATGGAATAACAGTTATTGTATCAGTTATTGTAGTGCTTGTTCTTAGTGTGTTACTGTGTAGCAGATAAAAACATGGACTCATAACCCGGTTGTTACTGGTTTCAGTCTGAGGACGACTGTTGCTGTGGTAACAAGATACTGAAGTGGAATTGTTCCGCTGAAATGTTTTATGAAATGGTAAAAATTGTATTTTGCTTACTATCAGAGAAACAGGTGCGTTGCGTTGTATTCCCTGCCTCAGTATCCCATACAGGCATCAGTTTCATTAATATGTAAAAAATTTGGAATGGTATGTGAGGGTCACTTGCAGGTCACGTAAGTGCAAACTGGCATGTACTGCACGTATAGGCGCCCCCACCTCCTGAAGGGGCAAAGACTCTGTGTCTTTAAGAAGTCAAGAGGCTCCTCTTATTCCTCCACACGGGGCAGCATATGACTGGATGATTTGGGCTCAGGTGCTGCACAGCACAGATGCATGTCCAGAGAAAGTGTGACTAGAGCAAGTTCAGACAGCAGCAGATGTGATAGCATGACCAGCTATTTTAGATGGAGAACTTATGCTGTGCGGGAAGAAAAAGATTTGTGGTGGTCTGACAAATTTAAAAATGGCACAAGTCTCAGAAATCATTTTCCAAAACACCATATAAGCACATTAATCCATTTGTATAGTAACAGCTGATCCCTAGAGCTGCATCTTATACCTTTCCCATGGGA